GGCGCCTGTCATCACTCTCATGCCATTACTTTCATACAACACAGACATCACGTTTGACCTCACCAACCTCCACTCACTCGGTCACACAAATCGTGGGTCAAGCCGATTACCCGCGTCTCACACACAACAGACGTAACACCTCCCCACCATGAGGACAACCAAACACCTGCGCTTTGTGCTGGCCAACGCACACACGCACACACACCATCGATAACCGCCCCCACTTCCACCACCCACTCCTACCACCATCAATTGCTACACTGACGCTCACCTCAACCAACCATCAATCCGTCCATCCATCCATCCACCACTCATGCCCATTCCAACAATCCTCAGCCCACACTTCCTGCAATCCGACTCAATAGCACCCCTCACTCGCCCTAAGCAAGACCCCAGACCTCAACCTCAGCCCATTTCGACAACCACCTCACCACACTCACCACACACCACACTGAGTTGGTCCACTCACCCAAATATCATACTCTGGGAAGCAATGATCCACAGCAAGACTTTCAGCCCACATTGCAAAGCCCTCATTCAACCACAAATCCGTCCACCATGACATTGTCACCAAATTCCCGAACCACATGTGTGACACCTCATGTGCCACTGTCAACGCAACAAGCTTCTTTGACGAGAGAGAGGAGTTCTTGGGGTCCAGCAACAGAGATGTCTCCCTACAATCATACACACACTTCATTAAGCATAACGCATAACAACGCGACTTCCAGTCACATCCCACCCATCACTTTGATAACACCTCCTCCTACGCCAACACGCAAAATGAACTCCCCGCCCACCCAACTGCGTCTCCCACTCTCCACCTCCTCCACTAACCTCTCTCAACTCATTCTCCACCACTACCCTTCAGTCGACACATATTTCAGCCACTACTCCCAATACCACCAACACCACCACCACCACCACCAACTTAGCCTTCACTACAAATTTGCTTCTCTCAACCTCCTAACGCCCTCACTTACTTCACATGCCATGTGCACCTCACCACTGCTCCAACACCTAACACCTCACACTACACGCCTCCCACTGACTGCATTGCACATCCCAACCATTACCTTACAACTAATAACTTCATTGCACGTACAATGCCACCCAAAGTCCACCCCACCACAGCCCAACAAAGACAACATCTACTCTTCAACACTCACCTGTAAGTCACCAAGCCCCAGTTCTCCATCGCTCCACATGCAAAGTCAGGCAGCGCAATCAGATCCAACTTCGGCAGTGGATAAGGACACCCAAACAACTCCGCGTAGAATGGCAGCGCTTTCTCCGCCACTCCCAACGCATACTCTCCATACTTGCGTTTCCCCAGTGGCGTGTACACTCGAATTTCCAACTGCCCTCCTTGTGCCTTTGCCGACTCCTCCGTCCACGTGGTGCCACCACATGGACTCTTACTGGAGATGTACTCGAAATCGCCCACCACCATGGCCACCAAATATGTCGACATCACCGGGGTACGGTCGAAGGTGACTCTCACGTAGTTGTGACCACTGGCAGGCTTGCTCCAACCCTCCGGTGTTGCCACAATCTCGCGAGATATCTCAGGCTACAACAAGTCAACAGAAAACAAAACATCAAAACTTAACAAAACAAAACAAAAAAGGCTAAACAAAACACACACTTCCAACGTCATCCTCCCTACCCTATCCTCCACTACGTCAGCGCCACACTCTCTACTCTCTTCGCACTACCAACACTCACTTCTCCACTCCCAACCCCACCCCCACCCCCCACCACCCTCCAACTGACACTGTCTATCACAACTTCAACCGTGACTCCTAACACCAATACAATGCTACGTCACACGCACACACACTCCACTTTAACAAATAACCGCGTGCATCAATAAACAACCGGTGCGATGTCACCATCAGCCAACATCATTTGCAAGTCATTTCCAACCTCGCGACATCAGCACAGTACTCACAGCACATCAACCAAAACCGACAAATTTTCCCACTGCAACACTCCTTACCACTGACGA